GAGAGAAGAAAGAGAAGCTTGTCTTGTCAACATTTCTTTCTTCACTGAAAGCTTCAAAAAAGATCTTATAGCATATTTTTAGAGCCCGTGGAGGGATTCTTTTTCATTCATCTTTTATTTCTGCAACTGATGATTTATCATCTCATGTTCAATACCCCGTACTTCCTCAACTATTTGTCGTGCCCCAAGCACATCACGCTACCCCTTTCACTTCCGCTAAGAATATGCTTCTCTCTCCCTTACTCTGGCTGATACTACGTCCTCATGTAGGAGTTACCCAGGAGTCTCTCCGGTGCCACCGCTTCAGGTTAGAGGTTCCCGTCACCTGCAGTACTGCCACCACACTTACCTTATTGCATGTTTACCTATTTTCTAAGGCACCCTGAGTTTTATGAGGTCAGGCTTTCTGCTTCCTTTGTCTAAGACCTTCGCAGTGTTAGGGCACAGAGTGAGCACGTGAAAATGCCTATTGAATGAGTGCATACGTGGAGAAGTGGTTGGAAGCATCAGTGCAAAGCATATCCAGTAGAGTACAGCTTGTGAAAGCAGCAATCCATGGAAAGCAGAGACCTGTCAGAAAAGGAAAACTCAACTACTTTCCACTAAAATGAGTGCCAGAAATGGTAAGGCTGAAGCTTGTTTAGGAGGAAACCTGACGGTTGTGCTGTGGGGTTTCCTCCAGTCAGTTTGGACCCAGCACGGCACCATGCATGACAGATGGAAACACTGTGTGGTCCTGCGGCAGCCTTGTATGTGATGCTATGCCTGAGCCCATTGTTGCAGCTGGGGTGTGAAGCCATTTATTTGAGGGGCTTCCTCTTTTTCGCTAACCCTATTTTTCAGCAAGCATGATGTCCTTCTGCAGAGACTGGTCTCTCCTGACATGTCCAAAGCATGTAAGATGAAGCACGTCAAATGAAAATTTGGCAAGAAGTAGAAAAAATAAGGCAGCTGTGTCAAGTTCTAGCTTTAACAAATTTCACTTACATGATTTATAACGTTCCTGGGCAATTGCTGGAAGTGGCCCGTCAGACACAGTTATCTAGTTGAAATTGGGCCGTGGAGATGCAGGTTTATCTTGGACCCACCTTGCACCTATGACTTAGGGCTGCATGACCATGAGTCATACCCCAGCTGTCACAAAGTCAGGGAACGGAAGGCCTAGGACAAATCCTATGATTTCTTTTAACCTAAAACTGTGTACATATCCCAACGATGGTCCTTTCTCCACTTCTGCAGGCCCACCTGTTAGAGGGAGGGATTGGCTTGCCACCAACCATGATCCTGTGATAATTTCCTTTGATTCTTTATCATCTATCAGGCCCCTAGTAGGCAGGCTCCCTCGGCTTTATACTGGGTATATAACGATGGTTTTCTTCATCCAGGATGATTGGTAATGTGTACAAGATTGGTGTCCCGTGCTGGTGATCTTGGGGCACACCTTACCTAGGGTATGTCTGGTCAAAAAGAACCAAGACCTTGGTGGCAAAGCCAGATGCCCTATCACCTTACCGGAGGAAAGGGGGCGATCTCCTAAAGTCTGCCCCCATGTCAGGTTGGGAAACACCAAGGAATCTTGCTCTTGCCACTAAAGTGCCCATCCCCTAGTGGCACAGCTGTCTTGTCCTTCCTCTTCACTGGGTGCTGCCCAGGTGGCGGATGCCATTTTCTTAGGGCAGGGGAGCTTCTGGCCAGACCTTACCATCTGAACACTTGAATCTCTGAGCTTGGCTGAAACATTGTTTTGTTTCAGCCTGGGCACTTCAAGACTAGACAGCATGGCTCTTTTCAGTGTATTGAATGAAGGAGTTACACTAGTTCAAGTTAAAAGTGGATCCTAAATGGTTACATCATACAAGCTGTGAGGTTTTAAACGTGTGACAAGGGACCGAGGGCATTGTTCCACTCATTGCAAGGAAACCCTTTAAGCTTCCGTGTTCCACAAGCACTTAAAACCCAGGAACCGTCAGGTGGTCGTCCTTGGCCAGGCCAATCTCTGCAAGGAACTGGCCGCTGGTCACGCTGTAGTTGAGTCACTTCATCAAGACAGGTGTGCATAAGACAAACAATCTCATTGAATCGAGGCCCTAGCCTCCAACCTCCTGCTCTGCTGTAAAGATTACTATAAAGAAACAAGTTAATATTGTCCCAAGAAATTATGCCATCTAGCAATTTTAAGCACTTGTCTCAGGAATATAGCAATGTTAAGCACTTGTCTCAGGAATATAGCAGCTCTTAGAAAAGCAATTAAAATACCCACAATAAAACTTATTTTTTTAAAAACTTCTTATTGCTTGAACCATAAACAAATGCCTCTAAGATCTCTCATCTCACCTCTGTGGGCTAGACATGAGGACTGGGTAAATTGTGCTTTGTATAATCTCTTGAAACTGGCAAGCCCCAGTGCTAAATAATTACCTGCAGTCCATACCGTAAGTTAAGTTCTGTGGCACCAACCACCGGTCTTCTTCAGGAGAAAGTGTGCCCGTGACAAAGATGCCGTTGCCCCAGTCGGAGCACACCATGCCCTGGAAATCGCACAGCCTGGTGGACTACCGGAGACACGTGCTTTTCTCCTCTTATCGCTCTTTCTATAGAAACATTCAGTAAACAAATTTTGGATTTGGGGTTTGATCTTAGCTCTGTCACCTATCATGGTGACACTATGTATGTCAGAATGTAACTGCCCTGTAGGGTTTTCAATGAGTGGTTTTTAGAAATAAATTGCTAGATCTTCTGAGCCACCCCTGTATGAATTTGAACCACCAACCTTTCAATTTGTGTAAGTGCTTAACTTGTTCTGCCCAGGGATTCCTACTTTCTATCTTCTTGTGTGCCTTCCCTGTTGATTCTGACTCATACCACTATAGGGTAGGTAGAACTCTCTCTTAAAGGATTTCCAAGATTATAATCTTTACAGAAGCAGACTTTCACATCTTTCTTCTATGAGGTGACCGAACTTTTTGATCCACATTCTGAGCCCATGCTACCAAGGTTCTTTTCAATCCTAATGGTTAACTTGATGTATAGTATATTATGTGTAATATACAAGGCTATTTCATATACAAATTTTTCTTAGTGTAGAAAGCAGAAATTAAATGTGTGACATATAAAGCCAAACAGTAAAACTAATTATTGAACCATTCTTTAAAAATGAAAGGAATGTTAGGTTAGTTTTTTTTTATTCTGTCTAGATCAGTTCAGATTGTAAGGTTCGTCTTTAGTTTTCATCTTGATGTAGAGATGATCAATTTTGTAGGCTGTGTGTTTATTCAGTCAAACTGGGTTTTCATTTAGATTGTCCTCTCCATTGCTTTCTAGGCGATTCAATTCCTGTCGACCTTGCAGGACAGGGTAAACTGCCTGATAAGAAGGTTTGAGGCTATAGGTCTTTTTTCTTGCTTTCACTTATTTAAGCATTATTTATTTATTTTGAGGCTATAGCTCTTTATTTTAAAATAATTTAAAAAAAATATTTAGACTTGTATGTTAGTGAATATTCCATGTGCACTTGAAATATATACTTTTGTGGTTCAAAAGAATGTTATCCAGACATAAGTTTTGTAAAGTTAGTTCATGGTGATAGGTCTTTACTGTATTTGTTCTACTAATTACTAAAAAACAAATTATAAAATCTCCCTCTATAGTTGTGAATTTTTCTTTTTT